TGCAACTCTCTAGACATTGGCATGCACCCCACGTCGTAGCTCGTGCAAGGAAAAGTATCGGGGGCGCCCCTCACGGTGCGTGGGTCTCGCCTGTTCTCTTGAGAGCGTGCGTGGTCGGAGGCATCATCCTACGCAGCACGCGACCCAGTCGAGTGCGATTACTGCTGCACTTAGGCTCGCACTGACGCTTCAGTACGAGTCTTCTGAGGTGAGCGGCGCCTTGAAGGTGGCAGAGTCGGTACAAACCCACGCGTCCGGCGCCAACCCCATCCACTCAGGCGCCAGAAAGCACTGCGTGCAAACGTCATCAGAAGGGCCCTCCGTGACGTGCCAGTCTTCACTGCTGATGCCCATGAAGGTCTCGGGCACCTCTGTGGCAAAGGGAGCGCTCAGCCGCTGTGGAAGGCGATAGCTGGTCGGGCCAGGAGTGCTCCATGCGCGGGCGATGGCGGCCCGGCGCGACTCGATGGCGGGCCGGGTGCCACCGCGCGGTGTGTTCAGGGCGGCTGGGGACGCGAGGGCGGTAGCGGCGAGCATCGAGGCAGAGTGGATGGTTGGGCGCTTCGGCGGCAGGCGCCAAGGAATAGTCAGTCCGGTTTAGGCGCCAAGGATGAACGAAGTCAGTTTCCCGGATAGTGTTCTTCTTTTTTTGAGCGTGCAGCTTCGCCGGTCCCGTAGCCTAGAGAGCCCGCGCCGATGAGTGAGTTCTTCTGTCCGACGAGCGGCTTGCTGTGCGGACGCCTTCTTGTGGCTCTCGTCAGCGTTTTGCGGCCCGGCGGGTGTGAGAATGATGAATGAATGTCTGTCGTTCTGATGTGTCACTGTGTACGTCACATCGGTCTTGATAATAAGCACGGTCGATCCGTCGAAGCGATACACTCGTTCCTATCACGTTGGACGGCTTGCATGGAGCATGGAGCTCTGTGCCGGCACACAGGAAGAGCCGTGCTGCAAGAAGAGCTCGAAAGTGCTCACCCAGGTTTCGGAAGTCCACCTTGTCGACAGACCTCTGATCTGTGTGTAGCGGATCACCATGTTGGTCGCGCTCTGCGAGAGGACAACCGTGAGCCGCGGATGCTTGCTCGGACGCGGACCCGCCCCGTGCCGAGTTGCAGACCCAGAGGTTGAAACAAAGCAAGGAAACAAAGCAAGGCGGACTATTGATTGGCCTGTATGTACTCTCGAGGTTCTCGAGGTGGATATCCTTTGGCCGCGTTGGGTAGCGAGGATTGGTGTAACCCGAGCCACGGAGGCGTGTTTTCTGACGGCCGACCGTCAGTGCACGGAGTTGCCCCTTCTCCGACTGCCTCGGCTAGTTCCCGAGTTTCGCGGGAGTGACCCCATGCGTCAAACCCGAGACCTAGCGCGGGTGGGTTGGAGGGGGGCTCGCTGCAGGGAAGGGCTGTGTAAGAAGCCGATCCCCGTAGTCCGCCCCGCTCCTCCCCATCGGGCCGCGTGAGCGGCCACGCCTCGCAGATTCGTTTTCGCGCCTGGGTCAGGCGCGCGGGGCATCCCCCGGGTCGCTCGACCAGCGATCCGAAGAGTGGCCGCTATGCGAAGGAAAGAGCGGGGCCCTCGACGCCTCAGTCCGGCCCTCCGAGGGGGGAAGGGAATTGCGGGGTCCCCACGGGCGCCTCAGTTCGGCCCTCCCGAGGGGGGGAGGGGAGCAAGGGGGTGGGGGGATGGGGGCGGCGGGGGGGAGGGGTCTCGGGTTTCGTGTGGATAATACTTGCCTTTCGGGGAGGGGCCTCGGTTCAAGCGCTCATCACAGGAGTGGGAGCTGCCTGACGTCTCCCCCCCCTCCCTCGAGGCAGCGAGTAGGCAGCGAGTAGTGAGGGTGGGGGGGCCTCGGTTGGAAGGCGCTCATGCAGCCCTACGTCTTCCCCTCCACCCTCGAGAGTACCTATACGCTAGACGAGCGAAGGGCGGTGGCCAGTGCGCGGGCGAGGGGAGGGGGCGGGGGGGCGGCGGGCGGGCGGGCGGGGAGGAGGGGAGGGGAGGGGAGGCTCTTAGCCATGCAGCTGCTGTCGAGCCGAGGCGGCGGCAGCCGCCGCAGCTGCACCGCCTCCCGAACCTCCCGTCGCGCCGCGGTCGCCGCTCCCTCAGGTTCAGCGCCGTCGCCGCGTCGTGCCCCGCCGCAGCCTCTCAGGAAGGGTCAGTG